CATTTTTATTTGATTATTTTCTTTCAGTTTATGATGCCATGGAGTGTCTTCGATGGAGCTCATTAGTTCCTCAAGGACAATGTCTTCTTGCTCCCCTTATTCTAGTCATTCTTGATACTAGCAAGTTATACGATTATCTAGTCAAAATGATATTTAAACTGCATGGGCAACTGCCACCGGATGCTCTTGAAGGTCACCGAACCAGATTTAGAGTGGGTCATCTCCCTTATCTCCATACTTTTTGCAAGATCTTCTTTACTGTATCCAGTCATCATATTTCTAGGAGGTATTTCGAAGAACGAAGAAATTTTACGAGGAATCCAGTAATCTACAATATTTCAAGTACCTGGTTTCAATTCCAACTCTGCCATCGGTACGACGAAATCTGTTGAAAAGTTCGTCCTTCATAGTGCAAGTTGATGTGTTCTAGGCTGCACCCAATTTCCTACAAGCGTCAGATCTTGATAGCTACCAAACTCCCCATGCTTATCTTCACTCTGAAGGCTCCGAGGATGGTCAGTCAGTCACCGCTGACGAGGTTTTACTAGATCTTGGATCTGAAGAACAAAGATCTCAGCAACAGCCCGCGCAGACGGATCCTAGGTGGGTACCTTTTCTACTTTTCCATTTCTATGGTAGAATTTCTTCTCAATCTCGTAGTCAGCTTTGAATACCTTCCATTGCTCTAATATGCTGAACTTACAGTATGTTTCAAGTCTTATAGACAACTCAACAGAATTCTAAATGAGTTTTGGCATCGACAACAAAGTTTCAGTCAGCCTGTTTTGATATTTCTAAATGCTTTAGAATGAAATAGATTGAGATGTTAGTAGAAGGGTGATTTTAAGATGTACATTAGTGCGGACACGCTGTAGTGAAATGCTTAAGGTTCTCTTGAAAAGTCCGGTCTTCGCTGGTGAACTTCACCAATACAAACTTCCGTTATGTGACAGTGCTGTAGTAGCGTGCACGCAAGAACACACAAGTGGTCGCTCGATAGTGCCATCGATTACTAAAACACCGAACAAGTCTTCTGCCTCAGTCTTACTCAATATGTAACTCAACTGAGAAGATCTCTTTGTACAGTCAAAATGTCGGCTATCATCCGTACTATTCGCAGATACAAGACAGCTCGCTTGTATATCATCTTAAGCCTAACCATGAATACCTAACAGCCATTGTGTTCTGTGATACATAATCTATTTCCCATAAGGTCAGTTACGTAATTGTGCGAGTTGAGACATCGAACAGGCGCGCAGTTTACTCTCGCAATGCATTTTTTTGAGCCGCAATGCGCATATGACGTATTTCGCGAGTATCTAGTAGACCATTTCAGTCGAGACACTATGTGTCTTTCTATCAGCTAACTACTCTTTCTGCAGAGATGATCAGATACTAAGTCTCACACGTGATTTGGAAGACGAGCGATTTGCCAAGGAGAGATTGATTGC